GAATTGGATAACAAACAAGAATGAGATCAGCTGAGACCAAAATGTTCACAAATGATCCAACAGGAAGGGAGCATACAGCCCATGCATGGAGAGATAACGAGCATAAGAACTTCATTAGGGAGTTAGATAGAGAATGAGCTTATTGACAGTTATGACTTGCACCTACATTTCAAGTCTGCCACCTTCACAGGAGTTGAGCTCGGCTGGATAACAAACAAGAATGAGATCAGCTGAGACCAAAATGTTCACAAATGATCCAACAGGAAGGGAGCATACAGCCCATGCATGGAGAGATAACGAGCATAAGAACTTCATTAGGGAGTTAGATAGAGAATGAGCTTATTGACAGTTATGACTTGCACCTACATTTCAAGTCTGCCACCTTCACAGGAGTTGAGCTCGGCGACTCTACAGGTTCAGAAGATGGGAGAGGTGTGACCTTAGAATCCAACAGGAGTTCACAGCAATAGCTGTGAGTGTGCAGGGTGCTGAGGAAGATGCCAGCCGTGCTGCACTCATCAAAGGAGGCTGCGGTCTTCTGGAACATGGGATCGACCTGCATATGGACACAAAGCGAGAAGAATCAAGCAACAGAGGGGGAGGGAAAACATGACGGATGGACACAAGGCCCCACCACGGAGAAGCTCTAAATAGATGCATGAGCTTCACACTCACATTTGGGTTAGTGTCCTGGGCTAGTGCAGAGTTGTTATGCTGTAGGACAGTGGGGTAATCTGCGACCCGTGGGCCACATGCAAGTCCTCAAGGTTGTGTGTTCAGCCTGTGAGAGGTTTACTGTTGCCCATGCACAGGGTTGCCAGATTCTGCTGGTATCCATCCGTGTCATTTTTTTCCTACCAGTATTACTAAAATGACACGCCCGTAAAGCAAGGGCCCGTGATGTGAGGTGCATGCTGATTGCACATGACACTGACTGATTGCTGTGCGCTCCCTCTGCATCCAGTCAGCACAGCCTGTAAATTCTAGGCCTGCACATGCAGTGAGCAAAACAAACCTATCCTGGGAGACCATCTTGGTTATGATAATTTTGCAGCTCATTGAGATGCAGAGCTACTCATGCAGCCATTCACTACCTAAATACATAATATAAGAACTAGGGGCCACCAAATGGAATTAATGGGCAGCAGGTTTAAAACAAATAAAAGGAAGTTCTTCTTCACACAGCACACAGTCAACCTGTGGAACTCCTTGCCTGAGGAGGCTGTGAAGGCTAGGACTAGAACAGGGTTTAAAAGAGAACTAGATACATTCATGGAGGTTAAGTCCATCAATGGCTATTAGCCCGGCAGGGTAAGGAATGGTGTCCCCAGCCTCTGTTTGTCAGAGTGTGGAGATGGATGGCAGGAGAGAGATCGCTTGATCATTACCTGTTCGGTTCATTTCCTCTGGGGCACCTGGCATTGGCCATTGTCGGCAGACAGAGTACTGGGCTGGATGGACCTTTGGTCTGACCCAGTATGGCCATTCTTATGTTCTTTCCTGAGGTTGCCCATCGCTGCTGTAGAATGTAAAGCACATCACTACGGGAGGGGCAGAGGGAGACAGAAAAGGGACTTGCTAGGACAGCAGTGTGTAGATAGACAAGAGGAGAGCATATGAATGCCAAAGCCTGACTCAGGATTGCCATGTTGAGGAGAGCAGTTACATAGGGGTGAGGAAGGAGAAGTGTCCATCTGGCACAGGGTTGACTAGAACAATTGCTACACTATGACACCAGGGTCATGTTCCCCACCTCACTTCTGCGATCTGCCTCAGAGATATTTATGTTATTCAGATTCTGCTCGATTGTTTTGTACGAGTGCTTCTTCTTTGGCTGAGATTTCTTGGCAGCTTCCGTACCAGCAGCAGCTCCATCTATGAAAAGAAGAATTACTGCAGAGGCTGTCTCAAGAGCAGTGAGGGGGAGCGGGAGGGTTCAACTCACCACTTTTCAAGAAGAGTCAGAGTATATCCAACCTAGACCTGACCTACCCATACCGTTTATCTCTGCTATTCCCTCAAGGCCTTGTCTATGAGGGGTTGTGTGATTCGTTTTTATGAGGTCTTACCACAGAATCAGTGAGCAGGTTCAAGAGTTTACAAAAAACCCCAAACACACTCAGAATTACTATAAATAACACCAGTCCTACAATCAACAGATACCTCCCCTTCTTCCCCCATTATAAATAACTTGGTTTCTGTTATTCCTACTCCAGCTCATCAACTGCTGAAGTGGGTTTTGCCCACAAAAAACCCAAAACAAACAAAAAACCTCATGATACTATATATTTTTGTTAGTCTCACAGGGTGTGTCTAGACTACATGCCTCCTTCGACGGAGGCATGTAGATTAGCCAGATCGGACGAGGGAAATGAAGCCGCGATTAAAATAATCGCGGCTTCATTTAAATTTAAATGGCTGCCCCGATCTGCCGATCAGCTGTTTGTCGGCAGATCGGGGGAGTCTGGACGCGATGCCCCGACAAAGAAGCCTTTCTTCATCGACACAGGTAAGCCTGAAGCATTTTGCTTCAACTACCCCAGACTAACACGGCTACATTTCTATCACTATTCTAGACAAGTCAGAAACCAAGGCCCCAAAACCGATCAAGTCACCCCCAAAATATCTACTAACAACAAAGCCTTCCTTACACTAAAGGAAAGTAGGGAGCACAAACAGGCCAGAATAAGCACTAAACATTTGGAGAAATCTTTTAAATTATTTCTTATTCAACTGCACTTATATTGCTAAATTAACAGGGAATCAGAAACCCAAGCAATTCAGCCCTTCCCTTACTGCCCATGTATTGGGAAGCTAAAAAAGAATGCTCTAGCATACTAGAGCAATCTGAATTCATCCAGCTTTCTTAGGAATATAGGTTTGCCATAAACAGGTCAGCCCATTAGTCCATATGGCTCAATATGTTGCTTCAACCTGTAGCCAACACCTGCACACAAAACTGTCCTATAATGCATCTAATCAACGATGTGACGCTGATGATCACAAAGGGTGTGGAAAATCCAGGGCAATGAAGATAGTACCCTAAGGATTAGATTCCATAAGTTTTATTTTATCTTGTATGTCTACAAAGGTTGATGGGCATAAAGTTATTCATACTGGGTAATCTGAATTCCCAGCAAAGGGAAGTTACTAAAATTAGATAAAGACTTTGTTTCCTTTTGTTGAGTTATCTTGCTGCATAACATTCTGCATTTGTAACAAGATAGGTTGAACACAAACATGCTGCTTCTCATGAGTTTGAATCTGTCAGGCCTTTCAGACCAAGTAAACCAAGTTCTCACCCGTGGCTCAGGGGAGGGAGAAGGCTGTAGCAGACTAAACACAGGACGTAATGTCAGGAGATTTGGATTCTAATCCTGCCCATCACTGACTTACTGTGTGAATTTATGCGCTTTCCTCCATTTTCCCATGTTTAAAAAGGCCCTTGAAATCTATAGATGCTGTTCAAGCATAGGATTGCTATACAAGCAGTCCCCGGGTTACGTACAAGATAGGGACTGTAGGTTTGTTCTTAAATTGAATCTGTATGTAAGTCGGAACTGGCGTCAGCCGCTACTGAAACTGATCAGTTTCAACAGCGGCTGAATCTGGACGCCAGTTCTGACTTACATACAGATTCAACTTAAGAAACCCAGGCGTCCCCAAGTCAGCTGCTGCTGAAACTGATCAGTTTCAACAGTGGCTGAATCTGGACGCCAGTTCTGACTTACATACAAATTCAACTTAAGAAACCCAGGCGTCCCCAAGTCAGCTGCTGCTGAAACTGATCAGCGGCTGATTACAGGAAGCATGGGGCAGAGCAACTCTGCCTCGGGCTTCCTGTAGTAAGCCCCTGGTCAGTTTCAGCAGCGGGTGGCC